TAACATATATGAAACTTTGGGAAGAACAGATATAGACAGAAATAATCATTTTAATTCCTATAAAAATATTACTACATCACAGAATAAAGATTACTGACTTTTACAGTGGAAACCAAAATAATTTTACTAAGACAAAATACACAGTCTGACTATTTGATGGCTACAAATTCTATATTAGGATGTTTAGAGTTTGTTCCCTAGGTGCATAATTTTCGCTTATATAAATAGAGAATGCTTCACTTGATGAAGCTTTCAAGAAAGAACATTACAGAAATTAGCAACACAAGAAACAACAGATGTTGTTGAGGATGTGGAGGAAGGGGAACTCTCTTACACTGTTGGTGGGAATGCAAACTGGGGCAGCCACTCTGGAGAACAGTATGGATTTCCTCAAAAAGATAAAAATAGAACTACTCTATGATCTAGCAATTGCACTGTTAGGTATTTACCCAAAGGATACAAAAATACTGATTTGAAGGGGCACATGCACCCTGATGCTTATAACAACATTATGAACAATAGCCAGATTATGGAAAGAGCCCAAACATTCATCAACTGATGAATCAATAAAGAAGATGTTGTATACATCCACCCCCCGACACACACACAATGGAATATTACTCAGCAATCAAAAAGAATGAAATCTTGCCATTTGCAACAATGTGAATTGAGCTAAAGTATATTATACTGAGTGAAATAGCCAGAGAAAGACAAGTGCTATATGATTTAAATCATATGTGGAATTTAAGAAATAGAACAGATGAACATAGGGGAAAGACTCTTAACTCCAGAGACAACAAACTGAAGGTTCCTGGCAGGGAGATGGGAGGGGGATGGGCTAAATAAGTGATGGGTATTAAGGAGGGCACTTGTGATGAGCATTGGGTATTAGAAGTAAGTGATGAGGGGTGCCTGGGTGGCTCAGTCGGTTAAGCGGCCGACCTCGGCTCAGGTCATGATCTCGCAGTCCATGAGTTCGAGCCCCGCGTCGGGCTCTGGGCTGATGGCTCAGAGCCTGGAGCCTGCTTCAGATTCTGTGTCTCCCTCTCTCTCTGACCCTCCCCCGTTCATGCTCTGTCTCTCTCTGTCTCAAAAATAAATAAACATTAAAAAAAAAAAAATTAAAAAAAAAAAAAAAAAGAAGTGATGAATCACTAAATTCTATTCCTGAAACCAATATTACACTATATGTTAACTAACTGGAATGTAAATAAAAACTTTAAAAAAAAGTGGATCTCTGCAAGTTGGCCTTCTTCTAGACATTGGTCATAGGCATCCTTACCATAATGACAACATGCTATGGACTGAGGTACAGTACCGAGTAGTAAACAAGAAGCATCTTTACTACTGAAATTCCATATATTCTGATCCAATCATGTCTTTCAATATGGAAACAGTGGGATTTAATGGTGAATATTTTGATAAAAATTTGGACAACCACACTTCTGATATAGTAACTAAAAAGTCCTTTATGAGCTATTAATTTGATACTTCCCTGCCCCATATGCATATTGTTAAATATTTCTTAAGGTCTATATATTTATCTTTAAGTTTTTATTTAAAGTCCAGTTAATTAACATACAATGTGATATTAGTTTCAGGAGTACAACACAGTAATTCAACACTTACATTACCCAGTGCTCATCTCAAGTGCACTCCTAAATTCCATCACCTATTTCACCCATCCCACATTGTTAAATATTTAGTAATACTAATTAAAAATAAAATTGAAATGTCAAAGAACTGAGAATACTGAGGGTGCTGAAAAAATAAAAGTGTTTCCATTTACTTCCTAAATCAAAACACTCAAGGAAAAGATTATTTTCTCATGTAAACACTGTGATACTTTCAATTAGCTGACAAATTTATTTTTATACTTATCAATATAATGTTAACGCTCAAGAGGAAAATGGATTATTGAATCACTAACACCCTATTATTCATATAGTATGACGCAACATATAGTCAAGCTACTCAATAAAGATTATATGAAACAAGCAAAAATAAATTTTTTTTAGATTTACTTTAAGCAACACATATACTTCCAAATGAAAGTACATTTGAATTTTCATTATTTACTCTTCTAAAATTCTTTTGCAATTAAAACAATATATCCAGGGAAGTAAAAAAACATTAACTATGGTAAAAACCCAAAGAGCATAAAATTTACTATCTTACCCATTTTTAGTGCACAACTCAGTAGTGTTAATTGTATCCACATTGTTGTGCACAAACTCCTAGTGACTTTTAAAATCTAGGTCATCTTGTTCTTTGTAAGTAAGGTGATTCTGGCAATGCCCCTGAGTTGCTGATCTCTCTGTGAATGTGTCTGGAAAATATAAACTTATTTTTTAATTAAACTTTTTGAAAGAAGGTAACATTGTTCCAAATTATCAATTTGTATGTGAGCAAATCAAATGAAATATTTTGAAACTCATTTGTTCTACTACTATAATGCAGGAAAACTGCTTCTTCTTGCACGTATTATTTAAATATAATTTTTTTCTTAAAATATCTGGACAATGTTTCCTTGGCATTTTTTCTTATGTTCCTGTGTACTTATTATCTACAATGTCTTTACCATCGGTGTTACGTAGGAATCATACACAGTTCACAGTAGATTGCATCTGTATGTTTTGCTACATAAGATAATTCAAATTTTAAGTAACGTAAAAATCAAACCTAATGATAGCAACTTCCTCAAGCTTTATTTATGAAATTGTTGTGTTAACATATAATGTGCCAAATGAATACATCTAATTTAGAAAAGAATCAATCCAAGAGAAATATATAAATCATATGGAAAAATGTTCCAGTGTTTCACATTTAATGTGCTTCTGAAATTTTATTTGGTAATAGAACCGTATATTGAGTTTTATAGCACTGACTGAATTTTCTAATCTTACTCAGCCCGGATCCAAGAGGAAATTATATCAACCACTTCTGTTTAGGGCAGTTAGCCTATAGTGGACTCATTCATTCTTCAGAATTTTAAACCCAGTGCTTAAGGTGAAAATTGAAAATAGTCACATTGCTCTTTAAAATCCATTATGGAGTTGCTAAGTTGATGATAAGCTAAGTATGTCTAGGCATATGGATATAGCTGATGTGTTTTTTTATTTTTCTCTCTCCACCCCTGGAATGTATATAGATATGCATTTCATCGGTAGACAACAATGGACTAGTTGGCTTATTTACAAGTTTTTTTTAATCCCCTTCTTTTATTTTTCTTATTTCAGTATGTTATATGTTTTATTTTGGGGCTGGGCCCTTCATGGGGCACATAATCTTAAATTATGGCATTAGTTACAGCTATTTTAGTGGTCTGACTGAAGCCTAAAAGCTCTTTTTTCCATGGCCTATACTTTGGGTAGAAGATTGATGTTTCCATATTTAGCTGTAAAAAGTAAGAAGGAGAAAATATTTTGATGGTTGAATAAGTATAATATATTGAGAATCAAAAAGTGAATACATTTCACCAGAAGAAAATCCATATTTCTAAAATATAATTTGTTTACAAAGATTTGCTAAGGTAATTTGCTTATTAATACTACTTACTTTTATCATATATTCCATTGTGTGTTTGGCACTGTGAGTGATGAAAAATGAGTATGACATTCTATTTGACTGAAAGATGAGCAAAGGTATTAAGATCAAACAAACATAACAAATTATTAATTTGGTAATTATATGTTTTGTAGTGTAGCCAATGTGTGACACAGAAATTTAGAGAAGATCAATCAATGTAGGATCATTCTCTGGAGAAGTTTTTAACTGATGATATTGGTAACTAAAATTATCATAATTTTATTGGGCAATTCATATGTCAGACACTGGATTTCATTTAATCATCCTCAAATAATCATCATGAGATAGGAAGTAATATTTGCATTTAGGTGAAGAAATGAAATTTCAAATGTCTTAATCACGTAATCTCTAATAAGTAAGTTAAAAGATGTGCTTTTTGAACACAAATTAGTCCAACAAAAGTCCACACTCTTAACCACATTCACCTACAAATAAGTTCAACTATAAAATTATTATCTGAAAATGTGAAATTCAACTTTGATTCCTAATGATAACTTGAGAAACTAGGAGCTTCTTCTACAATTACAAAATGTGAATAAACCGATACAGAAATTGTTGAAAAGAACAAAATCAGATATATTTTAAGAGATTAATAGCATTAAAGACACTGAGTTAAAAACATGCTCAATTATGGAATATATTACAGTAAAACTTTGGGTGACCCTAAACGATAAAGGTTTTGAATAACAATCTGTTATTAATACCATAGTATTTAAATGTTGAATACACACTTTGTGTTAATCAGATAAGGCATGTAACTTCTGGGAATACATGTTGCAAATTGGGAACATTATTAGCCCTCCCCAACCCCTCTCCAAAGATGTTAGTAACACAAGCTTCTTAGAGGGTCATAGTGGCCTATTTACAGGGACATGTGGAGTGTGCATGATCAAGGGGCCAGATGACAGACAAGCAGCAAGTGTCTTGGTGGGACAGTACCTCTTAGAATAAATTTTCTAAACTGAGCTGAATCCACCTGGGAATCACACTACCACCCTTGAAGTAGTGCTGCTGTGCTAATGAATTTAGAACATGTTAACCTATGCCAAATCTATCTTTCCCGACGTGACTTACCTCTTCATAGCATGCAAACTTTACCTACTAAAACAAGTACAAAGCATATAGTCAGCAATGCCTGATTAACAAGGAAATTTGAACCTAGTTATCAAAAGGTGTCAATAATATCTTCAAAGTTTCTACCTCAATGTGACTCATTATGTTAACTCAATATATATTCAACAGCTTTTTTTATTGTTATAATACAACATGTCCTCTTCTTGCAATTAGAGTAATAATATGTCTCTTGGATCTTTGGAATTAATATATTACATGGACATTAGTATATATAGAGAGAATACAATTTTTAAAGAGGAACAGGTATACCACAGTGAAAACTTTTAAATGTTTTACAGATTTGTGAAGCTGGAAATCATTTCATCAATGTAATTTTGTCTCATCCTAATCACACAGGTTAGTCCCTTTTTCTCTTTATCTTCTCTGGTGTGAGTTAATCTAGTGTGATGTTAATTATTACTTTCAAAGCCTTAAGTGAACACTTTTTTAAAGCAATAGTTGGAAACATTTAAGACAATATGCCCCAAGGCTAGCCCCTTTATGCCTAAGTTTTTCAAATTTTGAACTAAATCATATTTCCTAATAATGGTTTCTCTAAAATGAAGTATGCATGCCCTCCTCAGAACAAATGATAACCTCACTTAAATATATGAAAAAATAAAGAGATATTACTAATAAAGGCAATATAAAATTCAGTGATACAGATCTAATTTCTTAACTCTCAATCTTGATCTAATTTGCATAATAATGGACACAATCTCACTATATTTCAATTGACTTCTTAAGCTTTTTTCTAATAAAAGTGATCATTGTTTAGCAAATACAGTAGCTATAAAAAAATAGCAATGCCTAGGAGGACATTTTGAATTCAGTAGTTAGTTAAAAAAAAATTTTTTTTAAATTTACACTGTTTATCTAAAGCTTTTCTTGGTAAATCAGTCCTGTCATTCAGGTTTAATTATATGTAAGGATTCACACTGTTTTTTGTACATGATACATGATTATATTATACTTTCAAATAACAATGGTCAACATTTGGATTTCATTTTGTTATCAATCTCGCTGAAAATATAAACGTGTATTTGTCTCAAGTATGTTTTAATATCTACCTGAATGTCTTAACATTTTCTTGCCTTGCATATTTCTGGCAGTCTGGTGAAATATTTTCCAGAATAATACTTACACATATAGAATTAAAAAGGAAATTTATTATGTTGGTATATTTGTGAATGTATAAAAAAGCCAAAATATATAACATTTTTATTACATTACATAATCCTGTGATAACTACTCAACTTCTTGAGTATTGATGAACATATAGAGATAGAGATAGATACATAGATATCTAAAATAACTATACTATGATTTGAAAATATCTGTACTCTCTCTTGCTGAAAAATGTTAACAGATTAATGCCAGTACTATAGTGGTTTACTGTCTGCTTTTGCCTTACAGTAGAGCCTGCATTTAATTAAATGGTTGGATGCCATTTTTATCTTATCTATATTCATGATTTACTGAGTTCTCTTTGGATGTATTTGAAGCCTAAAAGTTCTGATAGTCTGATTTGTTTTTGTGTAGAAACACAATACAGTCCTATAAAAATACTAACATTACCAAAGTTATGAATATCACTAATTTTAGTCTTGACTATGAACCCTTAACAGCATTACCTTGCTCAAGTTTCTTCATCTTGTCTGGATTCTGGTATCATTATATGAAAATGAAAATTTCAGGGGTTCCTGGGTGGCTCAATTGGCTGGGTGTCCCATTCTCAATTTTGGCTCAAGTCATGATCTCATGGCTTGTAGGATTGAGCACCTCCTAGGGCTCCGTGCTACTCCACGGAGCCTACTTGGGACTCTCTCTGTCCCTCCTGTGCACTCTCTCTCTCTCTCAAAATAAATGAATAAACATTTAAAAAATAAAGAAAATGAAAATTTTTAAATCATCATATTTCTAAAGTCAAATGTAACTTTGGAATTGTTCAAATGAAAAAAACTTTTTTTTTTTTTCTTCAGGGTTCACTCCGCCTTTTATCTTGCTTGTATGTTGCTCTTGAGAAATCAGAAATCTAATCTTCTCTTCTTTGTTTATTGACTTGATCTTTTTGCCTTCAGACTGAAAAGAATTTTTCCTTATCACTACATCTATTAATTTTGTGAGGTGTGTCTCAGAGTTGATCATTTCAGGTCAGTTTTCCCAGATACATGATGTAATTTTCCAGGACACTGATTCATGTCCCTTTTTTTAGTACCAGAAAGTTTTGTAATTTAAAATTTGTTTTGTCGCTTTGTGGACTGGGTCAGGGGGTAAATTGTATATGTATTATATTTTATATCTTATATATCTATCACTTTCTATTTTTTTCCTTCTTGTTTGCTTGTTTTGGCTGGTTTTGTTCATCTACTTAATATCCCCTATTCTAGTGAACATTCTACTCTTAAGAAAATTGAAAAGTCTATATTACTGAGATGATTTTTTTTTTCTACAATTTCTTTCTTGAGTTCAATCAACTCTCATCTTTTCTTTTTTTCTTCCTGTTTTGGCCATATCTATTTTGAGTTTGGGAATTCCCTTTTTTTTTTAAGTTTATTTATTTATTGTGATAAAGAGAAAGAGAGAGCACTCACACACGTGCATGAGCAGGGTGGGGGCACAGAGCAAGAGAAAAAAAGAATCCCTAGCAGGCTTTGCACTGTCAGAGCTAGAGGCTGATGCTGGGCTCCATCTCACAGGTTTGTGAGATCACGATGTGAGCTGCAAGCAAGAGTCCAGGGCTTAATAGACTGAGCCACCCAGGTGCTCCCTCAATTATTTTTCTTTTGATGAATATATAGGCATTACACAAAGACATTTACATGAATGTTATCAAGAGAATATGATATTAAATGGCATATGTATTTATCTTTATCTTGAAATGAGCAGTACATGAAATCTGTACAGTACCTAATATATTTTTTGTTGATATTTTAACAATAGATACAACTCTGAAAACAACATACTGGCATTTAATTATGACTTTAGAATTATAACTAAAAGAGATTCGTTGATGTGTTATCCAATTAAACTTGTTATGGAGAATAAACAGTAATTTTATAATTCATATTTACTTTTATAAATGTCACAGCTCAAAGTTCAACTTGAAATCATTTTAATATGCTACCTAAAATATTTCTTGAACAAAATTAAAAGGCAAAGAATCACAAAAATCAAGTGACAATATGCTAAGTATAATGAAAATTGTAAATAACAACCCTGATTGCTGAGCAGAAATAATTTATGTGGTATTTCTGAATATTAACTATGGTGATATTCATTGTAATCCTCTTATGAGAGATTTTTCACACTTTTCTGATATAAATGACATCCTTAAAAAATTCCTTTTGGATTTTCACTAATTAAATTAGAAAGGGAGGTTTGAAGTATTAAACAATCTCAACCAAAAATATCTTCTTTGACACTAAAAGAGAAGAGGCATGCAATTGTTAAAGCATATTTACTAATTGTAGTATGTAATTCAGCTGCAACTATTATGATATGCAAAATAACATTTTTGTATTAAATTTTAAAGAACTGATTATCATGGTATATTGTATAAATGTATGGCAACATAGCTGTAGACATAGACAATTACAGGTATATTGTTTTAGTCAAAAGGCCGTAGCATTTCAAACTGGGACTCTTCTGAGTAATTTGGGAAGTTGGTTCTATAAATAATTGATGACATTTTATGTGGTGTAAGTTGTTTTAGGGAATTTAGAGTTATATAATACATATATGATTAAATTGCAGTATGTACCATCATTGATATTTTATTCTTTCTAAAAGGAGTTAATGCCTGTTTTCCAAGTCCAAATTATAACCCCTTCACATGGATGTTTTTTCTGGTTTCATGTCCTAACTACACCTATGAGGTATGCTATTTATGTATGTAAATAATTAAACTTTATTCTATGAGAAACTAAATGTATGTGTTTCTATATTTACAAGTATTAAAGTTTAACATATATAATTATACAGAGGATTTATCTGTATATATAGGCATAGACAGAGATATAAATTATGATATAGTTTCAATTCGAGTTATAGGCATGGGAAATTGGAACATTTATGTAAACTACAATTTTCCCTGCAGAAAATGAATATCTTTCCATATATATATTTTTAAACAAAATTTTATAATTTTCATATAAAGTGTCTTGAGATGTTTCAGGATTCTGTTTTTTATCAAAGTTTTTGCAACAATGTCTTTCATTTCTTATTTTATGAATATGATGCTGTTTATGGGATTCTTTATCATAATTAACAACAAAATCTTTATTTGGGGAAAATGTATTTCTACCAGTAGTTTTTCTATCGTGTTTTAAGCTTCACATTACCTATTTAAAACCACAAATGAAAAATTCCTAGATTAATCATAGTATTTTTAAATTTATGCTTTAAAATAACAGATTGGATCATGGATTAGTTTCACTGTCATGACACAAACACTGCCAGGTAAGACCTTGGTTATTTGACATTTAAGTAAATGCTCCTTTAGGATAAGTGATTTCTGAGAACAAGTTTCTGTAGTGCTAAAGTTTGGCATTTTTGCAAAAGGATTTTTTTGCTTTCATTTTTACCTTTATTTTGGATATTTTTAGCAGTATTAAAATATATTGGAACAAAAATCTCTAGGTACTTATGGCTTAATGTAGCCCAAAAAAATTAATTAAGCAAAAAGGATTTAGTCATAAGAAGTTGTGTTAATAATGCACTTCACTTGAAAATCTCTTTTATGATGAATATAGGCATATGTATGTGTTATGTCCTTCAAGTGTTCATGAATGTCTCTGAATGGAAGGCTGGGACCATGAGTGTGTAATCTCAAATGCTGGGCATTTTAACACACATAAGAGAGTTAAATTGCATTGAACTTCATGTATTGGAAAGTATATGGATTACATCCATTTCACACATTATTTATTTCACTATACAAAATTTTTAAATCATAATTTTTGTGGTTTGCCATATGCATGTGTGTAGACGTATATTATCTGCATATAGAAAACTATTATTGAACAATTCAAAGAGATAACAATTCCTTATTTGGAAATACTTTGTGGCAGTGGGATATAAAAAATGTGGATTATTTTGAACTCTGCTATATACTTTCAATGTTTCTTCAACTATGCAATAAATATGGATGAACATATATTATGCTAAGCAATTAATATGAGTAAAGAAAATTGATATAGAAGTATGCAACATTTGAGAAATATTTTAAGAGCTACATAAGATAGTTTTTTTCCCAGTATAACTGGGTATATTGATCATAGAAATAAGAAAGGATAATTATTTCTTTTTTCTTCTAGTTGGGATTTTTACACTTCTGATGAGTATCCAGATGTCTTTGTGGGCACAAAAGAAGCATAAGATTTATTTGAAGAAATTCAATTCTTATATGCATAGAAAATCAGCCATGATTCCATTCATACTGTAGTAAAAATAACTTATCTCATGTATATAAAAATAGTATATAAATTCACTAAATCAAACTTGGTCAATAGTTGACTATTATGTAACAGAAATTCAAAACAAACAGTACTTTTATTGAATAAAAATATTAAATGGTAGATTCTAGCTAACTTTAGAGTAGTAAACGAGGCAAATAAAAAGTAGAAACTGTAGATACAACTAATAAAAGATACATCCAAATATTTTCAAGGGATTGGTCTTTGAACAAAGTAGATTTTCTTACTTCATTAAATGTTTCATAATACTATCTGCTTAAAACAATTAAAATATCTGAATTATAAACTAAAAATTTGTGATTTTAAATCACCTGAATTTTACACATTTTGATGGTAATTTATTATTTTCTTTATTGTTTAGCATGTTATTGAAAAGTATAATATGTCACAGTAGTATTTCAATTTCTAGTGAAAATTCTACCAATATTAAAAGTGAAACATAATTTCTCATGAATCATATTTATTCATATATACATTGTATGTTGTCATTCTGAAACTATAATAATTAAAAATATCTTCTAGACATTATTTACTAAATCATTTGAATATATACTTTGTATCAAAATATATATTTATATTTACATATAAATTATATTTATATGTAAATATATATTGAATTATGTATACTTCAAATGGACTATATGTGATGACAATACATTGGAAATTTTTTAAATTAAGAATGGAAATATTTTTTGCTTTATTTTTACATATTTAAATTCCTATGTCCTCTCAAACTTTGTTTGCATATATGTAAGTATGTATGTGACTATGCATATATATTTTGACAAAGAGATGACTGGTGTTATAAAAATCAAGTATACATTAGTTAAAAATTTTAAAGAAATTCTGAGTTTCCTTATTTTTAAACTGGGATTTTTTAGATTGGTTAATTTCTGCAGCGTTCTAAGTTTTACATAATCAAAATATTCTAACTAAAGTTCTTAGATTATATACATATTTGTAAAATGTTCTTGGTAAATGTAGGTATATATACCTTCTGTGGGTGTTTATCATTAATATATGTAGCAAATTATTCAAGAAATAACAAAAGCACCCCTTTGAAAAGCTCTGTTATCTTCCCTAAATATATAGTATTAAAATATCTCAGAGGAAGACACATAACTTTAATTACCTAATACCTATTCAGCAAAATATCATGGACTCATTTGAAAGTATTAACAGTAGGTACTATGAATTGAACCACATACACTGAATACATCTACGTTATCAACCACCTGTGATAATCATCCCTTTGTTGAAAGACAAAGAGTAGTTTGTGTTTTCTTAACTGGATTCAGACTGATGCCAACTCAGGAACTTTGCATATTCTTATAGGATTAGAAGATCTTTGACCAATAATTGCACTACTAGGCATTTACCCAAAGAATATAAGAACACTAATTCAAAGGGATACATATACTCTTTTGTTTCAGCAGCATTATTTACAATAACCAAGATATGAAACAACCCAAATGTCCATTGATTGCTGAATAAAGATGTGGTATATACATACAATGGAATACTCTTCAGCCATAGCAAAGAGTGAAATCATCCAATTTGCAATGACATGGATGGAGATAAGGGTATTATGCTAAGTGAAATAAGTCAGTCAGAGAAAGACATACCATTTGATTTCAATCCTATTGGGGCTTTAAGAATGGGGGGGGGAGAGACATAGAGAGAGAGAGAAACAGACTCCTAATTATAGAGAACAATCTGATGGTTATGGAATGGGATAGGCTAAATAGATGATGGGGACTAAGAGGTGCACTTGTCATGATGAGCACAGGGTAATGTATGGAACTGTTGAATTATTATATTGCACACCTGAAATTAATATAACACTGTATGTTAACTATCTGGAATTAAAATAAAAAAAAAAAACTTAAAACAAAACAAAATACTTCCATTTTTATTACCCTAGGATTTCAAAGCAGGCCATAGGATTTGTCCTTAGTGGACAAGAATAATAATTGTTCTAAGTGGATCAGTAGCTCAGCAGTCACACTGTTGCTCCTAAAGTCTTCTCAAAGGTGAGCAGATATGATGCCTCAGCAAATAGGATACTGCACAAATGAGATGTTCAAGCAGCTAAGTTTAATCGGAGAAAAGCTTTTGAAAATAAAAAAAATTTTGCAGGTACAATATGTCTTAGCTTTTATTTCTATATTTGGCAAATGGAAACATGTAAAATCATGTAAAAACATGTAAAATTTCTTCTTTGATAACTGACAGAGCAATATAGAATTGCCTACCAACCCTTCATGATTAATAAAAACAACATAAAAATAGCATTCTAAGTTATATTTTCATGGCTATTCCAAAGTAATGTATAATTTCTCCAAATGTCCTCTACTTTCTGATTTAACAATCTAAAAAATAATTATAGACATTAAACAAAATCACAATAATTTGTTTATATAATATGCTGTCCCAAATATGTTTCTTTATACCATAGTCTCCCTGAGTGTCAAAATTCTCACCTTATAAGTAAAATACACTTACATCATCAAATTCTGAAATTCTTGTGTATTTTCAACAATAGTGATTTTTTTTTGTCAAGGTGAAGATTCTGGGAATATAAAAAACTTATACATTCCCTGCTTTCATAAAAAAAGGACAAAAGAGGCCCTATTTCTGATTTGAATGAGGTATGTATATACATGATATCTTCATATAAGTGATGTGAGTTTGGTCAAGGAGTTTTGTAGTTTGGGAAATGGACACATTTAATGCTATCAGTAGCTATATCAATTGGGAAATAATTCTAAGATGTTGCCACTTCACAACCAACTTTTCATAATCCATTTATTGATGAATTTGTTAAAAAACTAAATGTCAGCTGTGGGCAATCATAAGAGGAAAAAACGGGAATATGTAGTTTCTGCTTTTTATATAGTTTACATATTTAGGACATAACAATTCATTAAAAATATTTAGTAGAATTAATTGAAATTAATTAAAATAAACATACTAAAAATATTATCCTTATATTTTATTCTTTTATTTACTGGGCTGTTTGGATATAAAGGAATGGACATTACCTCAAGCTGTAAATTCCTGTTCAAATTTTGGAACTGGGAACCTGATTGCCATGATCTGTCTTCTCTCAGGCCACTTCTCTATTACAATATCTTAAAATGCATATTCTTTCCATTTCTATCACTTTTGCAGAACATACCATTTCTAAAAACAAAGCAATCACCCCTAAAGTCTGAACCTAAAATATATCATGAGGGTTATAAATCTTTTTTTCTGAGAAATACATAGATCTATAAATTTGTGTCCAATGATATCTTTATAGATTGGGTTATTTATTGGTTTATTTGGTATTTTATAACTCCTCCAACACATCTAGATATAAATCAGTTTACAGGGTCTTTAGGAGAATGAATCTATGCAAAGTAGACTAGAGCAGATTGGGCAATGAGTCTCATGTAACGTGTCCCTCCATCAAAAATAGAACTTACTATATCTTCATTAATAAAGGCCTCATTCAAAACAAAGGCTGGAAATAAACTTAAGCAGGGGTTCAAAAATATAATCACGGATTTCAGCTTCTATTGTCCAGATCATTTAATAAAATGATTATTATGATCCCTACCAAACTATAGCTTTGCACCTTCCATTTGGAGTGTTTAAGAATGGTAGCCAATAATATATTTAAATTTATGAATGTAATTAATCTTATGAAAGTAAATAAATTAACATCAGAGTTTTCAGACTGATACTGGATTTGTGATTACATATAATACTTTAAAAAATTAGACTTCACTTAATCTAATAATTCCTCTAATAGCTGCTTTTTTTAAATAATTCCGTAATAATACTTTCTCTGATCCCAAATAAAATTTTGCAAATAGTGTTTCTAAAATACCACATTTTTATCTCTCACACATTTCTTATAAAAAGTAGCTAGAGAAAGAAAATAATCAGAGGAAAAACAACAAAATTTAAATCAGCTGCTATGCTACTCCATATTATCACAGCATGCCTCTATTCCCCACTCCTCATCATGTCTACCTCAAGCTGCTATTTTAAAGGTGTTTTTGGTTTGTTTGCATGTGTTTTTAAAAAATGTTTTGGCTAATTTTGAATAAAAATAGACCTGTAGTTCATTTTTTCTTTTAGCAAGTTTTGTGTAAACAAAGTTATTGTCTGACTCACACACACACACACACACACACACACACAGAAATTTTAAACAATATTTCTTAAGAGAAAGACTATGTTGTGTCAAATAATTTTTATTTTTTTTTTAATTTTTTTTTAATTTTTTTTTTCAACGTTTATTTATTTTTGGGACAGAGAGAGACAGAGCATGAACGGGGGAGGAGCAGAGAGAGAGGGAGACACAGAATCCGAAACAGGCTCCAGGCTCTGAGCCATCAGCCCAGAGCCTGACGCGGGGCTCGAACTCACGGACCGCGAGATCGTGACCTGGCTGAAGCCGGACGCTTAACCGACTGCGCCACCCAGGCGCCCCTCAAATAATTTTTAAATAAATTAAGCATATTCTTATTTTTTAAAATATGCATGTTTTATCTTTTCTATAGAAATGTTAAGTCTAATGTCTAAGAATAGTAAATATTAAAATTCAGTGTTGTAGTTGAATATCTTGTATACTGACATTTAATCTTCAGTAACTAAATGCATTTTGAAGATATTTTAAGTTCAATTTTAAGTAACTGGCATTCAGAACATGTTAAGTTTTAGCAGCTGATATATTTCAGTTAAAATATTTGTTCTCATAAGATGAAATACAATGACCTGCGAATCAGTAGTAAGGGTTCTTTATATTTTTATTTTAATAAAAAAGAAAACCTTTATATTGCTCCTGGATATTAAAGGTGATTACAGCAAATGTTACTTTATAAGCACAATTAAAGGCATTTATGCAGCTTTTGCATAATGATAATAATTAAAAACCATTTATTTTAAAGGCTGCTTAAAAGTTAATTTTCACCCAGGTGCATATTGAAGCCTATAATTAGCCTTTCTTCAGAGGAGTTTTGGTTGAGGAAACACATAAAGGCATTTCCAAAGGCAGAAGTTCACTGCTAAAATGGGATTTTGGTTTTTAACTTTAGTTTGATAATGGTGCTTAAAATATGTGAGAACAAATGCTCCGAAATACTTTAAAAAATGAATCTATAATCATCCCAGATTGATTTCATTGAGAAGACATATAGAAGACCTATTTTCATATAATTTGTTTGGTAAATGAAGTCCCATAAGACTGCTACCTGGAAACTTTTATTATTTACAACAAATATAAGAAATTTTCAAAACAATTACAAAGCATAATTTCCTATGTATCTCGTCATTCTAGTGGGCTGGAAATCAATGCTATTTCTATAATAAATTCTCACTTAACAATTCATTCTTCCTCTACTAGTGATGTCCTACTTACTATCCATTCACCAGATGGTGCATTTTCCGAAAGCTCTCTCATATTTCCAGACAGAATCTCCAAGTAGAGGTAATCATTACACTTGACCTAGTTGCCAATTTTCAATACAGAATACAATAGTATATATAATCCCAATAAGGACTTTTTAAATCCAAGTACTGATACTTTAAGAAATTTATAGAAATAAAAAAGTAATTTAGGATTTATTATTGTGAACTATCTAACACTAGCTGAAGTTTGTTTACTTATTTCTTTTTTTAAAAAATGAGTCATTCTTTTGTTGTATAATTTTTTTAATGTTTATTCATATTGAGAGAGAGAGAGAGAAAGAGAGAGAGAGAGAGAGAATGAATGAGCAGAGGAGGGGCAGAAAGAGAGGGAGAGAGAGAGAAAATCCCAATCAGGCTCCATGCCCAGCACAGAGCCAGGCATGGGGTTTGATCTTATAATCATGAGATAATGATTTGAGACAAAATCAGGAGTCAGATGCTTAAGTGACTGAGCTCCCCAGACACCCCTGTTTACCTGTTTAAATATGAGTTTTCCTGGGGCGCCTGGGTGGCGCAGTCGGTTAAGCGTCCGACTTCAGCCAGGTCACGATCTCGCGGTCCGTGAGTTCGAGCCCCGCGTCAGGCTCTGGGCTGATGGCTCAGAGCCTGGAGCCTGTTTCCGATTCTGTGCCTCCCTCTCTCTCTGCCCCTCCCCCGTTCATGCTCTGTCTCTCTCTGTCCCAAAAATAAATAAAAACGTTGAAAAAAAAAATTTAAATAGTAACACAGAAATAGTGAATATACATGTCATGTATAGCCCATAGGCCAGTCTAAATCGTACACTACTTGGTATATTATTGTAGAAAATTCAATTCTGCTATAGAATATAAGGATGTATGTATTAAAGGAGACACATAAAGAAATTCCATCAAGATAATTTCCAAGAGGATAATATTAAGATTTTATTCCAACTGAAAGAAAAAAATATGCAAGGCAATAAATAAATACAATGTGATCTGATATACTTTTTTAAAGTTTTTATTTATTTATTTATTTATTTATTTATTTATTTATTTATTTAGAGAGGGAGAGAGAGAATCCCTAGCAGGCTCCCTGCTGTCAGCGCAGAGCCCAAGGTGGGGCTCGATCCCAAAACTGTGAGATCATGACCTGAGTTGGTCGCTTAATCGACTGGACCACCCAGGTGTCCCAGTGATCTGATATACTTTTAAAAATAACTCATTCTGTTTCTTATGTGAAAAAAAAAAAATGTGTGGATAAAGAGATGACACAGGAGAACATTTAGAAGAATCCAGTAATAGCAAAAGGGAGAAATGCTTAGCTGCTACAGGAGGCTCTGTGTCTTGCTTTTGTGTTACAGAGAATGTCTATAGAACATTCTAGATTCCAGGAAAGAGTTGGGGTGAAGGCATGGTGGGTCTAGATTTCGAATCTTAAGTCCTTTTATTGGCCTGAATAAACAAACCCAAACCATTACAGTGTCAATAAGTCTAATCTCCTTGTGTGTGTGTACACACATAAAGAGCAAGAGCTTCCCATGCCCTTTGACATTCTTGCATTTGCCAAGCATATCCCTGAATGACATCCTTAGTTAGAATATGGAAAACTTTATCAAAGCCTATGAGGCTGCACAATGCATCTCTGGATGCATCTAACAAGTGGATCTACCAAATCAATTCACTCTAAATCATGGAGTACTATATAGCTTCAAAATATGTGTTCTAGGGGCACCTGGGTGGCTCAGTCGGTTAAGCATCCGACATTGGCTCAGGTCATGATATCACAGTTTGTGGGTTCAAGCCCCACATCGGGATCTGTGCTGATAGTTCAGAGCCTGGAGCCTGCCTTGGATTCTGTGTCTCCCTCTGTCTCTGGTCCTCCCTCATTCATGCTCTGTCTATCTCTTTCTCTCAAAAATGGATTTTAAAAGTTAAAAAAATTAAAAAAAATAAAATATATATTCTATGAATTTTAATTGGCATATTTAAACTCTCAAATGAAAACTTAAATAAGTAAAATAGAATGTACAAATGGATACTTTATGTAAACCGTGGGCATTTTACATCACTAAAGTAAAATAACCTGTAGGCATTTTACATCACTAAAGTAAAATAATAAATAAATAAATAAATAAATAAATAAATAAACTGCTAAAGATGATAAGATCCAACTTATATATTAAGTAATAATATAAAAACAAGAATACCACAAAAAATGAATTAACATATTCACAATTGTTTTGGATTAGGAAGATTAAAACTTTTTTCTTTCCATTGTTCTATGCTTTCCAGATTGTTTTCCATGTACAAGTATGGTTTATTTCACTATAAATTATAAAGTAAATAATTTATTAAACAAACCAGATTCTTTATAAGCTGGTTCCTCCATTTTTTTCTCTAGTGTCATTTCCAAATATATTTCCTTATACTCTATGTGTTCAAATAATCACTAATCAACTTATCACATATTGAACTTTTCAAGTAACTAAGTTTCTGCATACATTCTTTATTTTACAATATGAACTCTTTTAAAGATTTTTAGTTTATATTGAAATTATCTTTATATATATATACACACAAACACATATATACACACACATACATATATATATGTATACCCCAAATGATACATTATTCTAAGTATAATGAATTTTTCAAACTAAGTATATATAGATTATCAGAAACAGAATGTTAACAGCAGCTTTCCAAGTCCCCAACCCAACCCCCTCCTCATGCAACTTTGTTATCACTAACCTCTCTAAAACTAGTGTGACTTCTAATAGCACAAATTAATTTTGCAAGTTTTGTGATTCACTCCTGTGTCTGTTTTTCTTTACTCAAATCATACAAGTTTAATAAATATTGTTACATGTATTTTTGTATATTTTTCTTCTACTTAAAGTGTGTGATACCTTCATCCTTTTTGATATTTTTTATCGGTTTTAATTTTCATGGGCATTTAGGTAAATTCTGACTTTAGATTATCACAAATAGTGTAGTTATGAACGTATTAGTACTTTTTTGGATAAACATATATAGACCTATTAAGTGTGTACCTAACAGCTGACTTGCTGTGTCATGGGTAGGTTTATTTTTCAGTTTTAGTAAATACTGTCACAAAGTCCGTTCTTCCAACACGCAGTGTTTTCCATTTTTCATTTGGTCGGGTATATACTGATATATCACTATACATTTAATTTGCATTTTTCTCATGGCTAAAGAAGTTAAGCACTTTTCATATGCTTAATAGTCAAATGGGTATCCTGTTTTGTAAACTGCTATTTGTCTTTTACCCAAAAGATTGTTGAATTTTCTTTCTTATTGATATATAGAAAATCTTCAGGGATTAAGTTGTTGGGTTCCTTCGCCATTGTCTCCTTCATTTACTTCTCTATGGATCTATGAACCTAACAAATATGTTCTCTTGTTCTGTGAGTTGCTTTTCTAGTCCTTCAATGCATATTTTAATAGTAATGTTAGCATTAATACAGTCTAATCATTTTTCTTGTATAGTTATTGCCTTTTGTGTCTTTTTAAATGCTCTTTCCCTCATCCAAGGTCACCTATGTTCACTATGCTCTGGAACTGATGCTTTTGTGTTCAGGGTTAGATAGAGGTCAAAATCCATTTATATTGTATAGATAGTCAGGGTCCTAAAACTGTTTATAAAGAAAAAATTTGCCCATCACCTTTTAGTTTTATAAATTGAGTGTTTATGTTAAGTCTATGCTGGGGGTTTACAAATATATCCCATTAGTCAGGCTTAGGCTGTTTTTGTTTGGGTTTGGGTTTAACCTTGCACTGATTTTACCTTGGCATTATTTAATGACATTTCCTGGTGGCATTTGTCCTACCTCTTCACATTTCTTCATCTTCTTAAACACTGTTTTGTTTATATTTGGGCCATTACATTTTTATTTGAATTTTAGAGCCACTTTGTAAATTAAAAACTCTCTTGGGATTCAAATAGGAATTATATTGAATTTATAGATTAATTGAAGGAAGATTGATCTTTGCAATATTGGGTTTTACAATTCACAATCTCTCAATTTATTCAGTCTTTACTTTCTATCAATAAAATCATTTCCATATAGAGATATTTACATATTTCATTAGATTTATTAACAGATCTTTTTATCACTATTTTAAATTATAACTTTTTAATCTTCTACTTGTCAGGTTTAAAAAAATTATTACCTTTAAAATTTTGCCGCATTATTTCTAATAGTTTTCTGAAGAAAATTTGGATTTTTCAGCAATATAACTGTATAATGTGCAAATATTTTTTATTTTTCTCTAATAATTACATACATGTACATATGTGTGTATATACATTCTCAGTACAGTAGTGTATGAAATAATGAGAGATAATTTGCATTTTTACATCAGAGAAACATCAATGTTTTATCACTGATTATTAGGTTTCCTTTAGGTTTTTGTAGGTGTTCCTTATCAAATTATGGAGTATTCCTTCTATATTTAGTTTGTTAAATATTTATAATTGTCAAAGAGGAAAAATTTCCTCTACAGTTCAATGTCCTTCTAGCTGAGCTAAGAATCAAATTGATATGAAACAGAAAACAGGAGAAAATAAAATTTAACAGCAAACATATGGGGAATCCACACAGACATAGAAATTCCAAAGACAGGCAACAAGACTTCTGAGCTCTGGAAAGGGGTAGGGGATCTGAGGATACAAAGGAGAGAAACATCATTAGCGCGAGATGAAAAGAGATGTTTGGAAACCAAAGTTGCCCTATTATGTAGATAAGTTTCTTATCTTATAAGGAGCAATTTCTGTCAATAGCTCTCTTCCTGGTAACAAGCAGGTAATTAAGGGGGAGGTATAGAGTTTTTCCTGAAACTGCTGAGTTTTGATTGCTTCTAACTCAAACTAGTGTTCTTGCCAAAGTGGCTCATCTTGGGACTGCCTGCCCTTGGCACCTACAAGATGGAGTATTGAGTTTTCTCAAATGGTTTTTTTCATCTATTCTAATGATCACATTTTTTTTCTTCTTATTCTTTAGGGTTGTTTTCCCATTCTTTTTTCCAACTTCCT